TTCCAGAAGAGGAAATATTGCAAAGATACATTTTGGAATTGCCCATCTTGCACTTAAGCCCTTGCCTGGTTAGGTTGAGTAGACTGAACTCCCATGAAGACAAAGAAGAGACTGGTAGGGAAGGAGTAGCAAGGGCCATCCCTCTGTTCTGGGCCACGTGAAAAACAAATGGGCTGCTGGCCAAAATAATTCAGAGGTGGCGTCCCTCATAGGCATAGTATACACAGGCACAAGAAATGGATTTCATTCTTGTTTGCCTCTCCCAGCCAGTTCATTAGAGATATTTGCAAGTTGTTAACTTTTGTGGTCCCAGTGTCATATGTCTTTGCTTCTATTTGATATGCGTCTCCGTTTTATAGAATTAGCATCACTTTCCCATGCCAGCCTTGATTTTGGCATGCCCTACGTTTATAGGCCAGGCATTTTGCAGTCTATACACATGTGTACATACACATACTATCATCATGGGTAGGGAAAGAAATCTCATTCGTTTATTTCAGTGGTTCTCAACCTGTGGGTCAGGACCCCATTTGGGGTCGAACGACCATTTCACGGGGGTCGCCAAACAACGCAGTCCGCCATTTTTTTTCCCCCTTTTCCTTAGCTGTGCTACTCCCTTTTATTCTATTGGCTTTTGAAAGCCAGTAGAATAGACTCTCTTGAATAGAGTCCAATTCTATTGGCTTTCAAAAGCCAATAGGAATCGTCCAGGCTGTCTCTGCCCTGCTGAGCCCACCAAAAGTCCCATTCTGCAAACGGTGCTGCACCAGTTGTGTAGTCCTCGACTTACTACCGGTTGGGGGTCGCGGCATTAAAAAGGTTGAGAACCACTGGTTTATTTGTTCATTCAAGTCTGCTTATTTCCATAGTGACGCTTGGTAATATACAATTAAATTTCAAAGAAAGGAATGTATATCAAAGGAAAGAAACCCAGCTACCTGGAAAAGAAACCAAAATCAACCATCATCCTAGCTCAAATCCTGGAAGAACAACTAGATCTTTAACAATTTGCATAAATTCAAAGACTGGGAGCAATATGAATCTCCGAGGGATTATCATTCCATAGAGCAGAAGCCATCATAGAGAAGGCACATTTCCTAAGTCCCCAAGGTGACACTACTTAATCAGTGGCACCCAAAGCATGTTACCCCAGCCAACTTCACCAGTGGGCAGAAACAGATGGAGACAGATGGTCCCTTAAGTCAGGGCTTTTCAACCTTTTCACCCATTGTACCACTTTTAGGATATGGCAGTATCCGAGTACCACCAGTCACCTAGCAAGGTGTCAAAAACTTGATGACCCCCCCAAAAAAAAGGAAAAACTGATGAAGTACAGGTAGTCCTCGACTTACAACAGTTCGCTTAGTGACTGTTTGAAGCTACAATGGCACTGAAAAAAGTGCCTCCCAAGCCACAGCCGAGCAAGACGCCTGCCTGCCCACCCAGCAGCGCTCTTCCTCCTGTCTGAGATTTTCATTGTTGTGAGCATTTCTGTTGAGGATTGGCAGTGGGGGTGGGGTGGGGGGTGTTTGGTTTTTATTCCTCCCGCCTACTGGGTGGTTGCATCAGGTTTTGGTCACTTCACATGACCTAGGGACACTGTGACCGTCATAAATATGAATCAGTTGCCAAGCATCTGAGTGTAAATCACAAGACCCTGGAGATGCTGCAACATTCCAGCTGATCGGCGCTTCTTCTGGGCTCAGCAGAAATGCCAGGATCAGTGCCGAGCTCCAGCTGGAGCCTGGTGCTGATTCTGGTCCTTCCACTGAGCCCTGATAGCCCTGCAGCTCCAGCCATCTCTCACTCAGGCTTGTGCGGTGCTGCCACCGGTTCAGCTCACTCCCCTCCCCCGCTATCACTTTTCTAGGATGGTTGCATACGACCTGCCAAGTGCCAATGTACCACAGGTGGTACCCGTACCACTGGTTGAAAAGCCCTGCCTTAAGTAGTCAAGTCTTGTATCATTAAGATCTTAACAGATAATAATCTACACCTTGAATTCACCCAGAAGGCAACTGATAACTAGTGCAGGTTACATGAGCATAATAAGGCCTGCCATCACTCCACACCCCTGTTCCTAGACCAGTTGTAGCCTCAAACTGATCTTCAAGAGCAGCCATGTATAGTATGTATTACAATTGTCCAATCTGGAGGTGGCAAAAGCAAGAGTGATTGCCTTAGGGACCTCCTGGTGAGCTATGGGGTCAACTAGTATATCACATAAACCTGTGCAAAAGCCCTCTTGGGCACAGCCGTCACCTGATTTTTGAGGTATACTAGTTTCTCATTGAAAAGTGGAGTGTTTTTAAGATTAAAGATGGGATGTCCCCTGAAGTGGGGTCAGACAAACAAAGCCACTGAATCCCATCCAGGCCGACACAGCTTCTAGGCACTGGGTCAGGATTTCAGTAGCAGCGCGTGGTTGATCAGACTTGAAATATAAAATTGGGTGTCATCAGACTTACTCTAGTTAGACGATCTCATCTACCGAAAGCAAGCCTTATAAGATACTGTGGGCAATGTATTGGAAGCCATTGAGAGATCAAGGAGTACTTGGATGAATGCACTACCCCCATTCCAATTCCACCAAACATGACCAGTATTGTCTCCATAGGGTCCTGAAACTCAAGTCGAATCAAGGGTAGTAATCTGCTTTCTCCAGGGTCTTCTGAAGCTGAAGCCCAGTCATTCTCTCCACCACCTCCCTAGAAAGGGAAATTTTCTGTGATGGTCTCTTGAGGGTGGGACAATCAAAAGAAAGTATGAATTCTGGATTCATGCCAGTGAATGCTACTAATGCATTTTCCACTTCCATTTACAGTCTGGTATTGTGCAGCTCCTTTGGGAAGAAAGTTCTCCCGTGGTCTACACTTGCAGCCTGGACGGGGCTTTGAGGCTCTGGGATGCACGGTCAGGAAAGCTCATTAGTGAATACAGAGGCCACTCGGCTGAAATTTTAGACTTCGCTTTGAACAAGTAAGTACTTCAAGAGCTATTTTAGACTGGAGGATGCTGGTGGAAGGTGCTTGGGAGTGTCATGTGGGAATAAAATGAAAGAAGGGGTATAGAAAGCTAAGTTACCTCAAGGTTTAGGTTGAGTAATACACTCATGTTACTCCAGCATAGGGGCACTGAGATGTCATAATAGGTTATGGCTTCAGTAGGAAAATGGGCTCCAAATGAAATGTGTAGCAGGTTAGGATAGCCAGGAATTGGGTTGAATGGGAAGAAGAGTCGTGCTATTTCTGGAGTGATTCTTTGCATAGGTAAAATCATTTTCTTCTTTCCAGTTCCCTTGGTGGTGCTTATCATTTATTTTTGTGTTAGAATTATATCCCATGTTTTCCGAAGGTGGCCATGGCAGTACATACAGTACAGTGTTCCATACTCCCATTTTTCCCCCACAACAACAACAACAATCCTATGACATGCTTGGCCGACAGAGAGTGATTGGCTCAAAGTCACCCAGTGAATATCTGTGACAGAAAACTCCAGATCTCTCTAACGCCAGCCCAACACCTTTATGACTACACTACACAGGCTCTCAGTAATGACAAGAACAAGAAAATAAAATGGATGATACGTCAGAATCATGGGCTTAATATAGGGCTTCCCAAGCTCCTTGACTTTTTGGCTTTCAGCTTGTTATTTCTACTATGTAATTCCTTTTTTTTACCCACTCACACTGGTGTTATGAAAATTAATTGCATATCTACTTGGGAACAAGCCCTGCTGAATTCTATTGGATGGATACGTATCGACAGCATTGAGCTCATAAATGACTATGTAATTATTGGTTAATATTTTAAAGGACTTCTTTATATTGAATGTTTTTGATCGCTTAGTTGATGAATTTGTCCTGGTTATTTATGGGAGTGCTGCTACGTTCCTGCGTCTAAGTACTGATTTTTAAAACACACTCATTCCAAGCCTTTTGCCTCATCCTTTAACCAAAGAGTCTCCCAACTTAGAAATATTGCCACCAAAATAGTGCTTGACTTTAGATTTATAATCAAAGAGACAGGATGTGCAAGGAAAGGAAAATGGGATGGAGGAAGAGAAAAATAAGCTGATTCATAAAAACAGCATTGTTTATATTAGCATTATTTATAATACTTTGTATAATTTGATAAAGAGTTGCTGCTAGCTGATATTTGAGGAGTAGCCTAAACCAACTGGAGTCTCAGCAGAAATAATAGTATGAGCCTGTTTTTCTTGTCTCCATCTTAGCATATCTTGACTTAATATTTGATTTGTAGTATCATGATATTTTTTGCTTCTTTCCTTTTGTTTTTTGTTTGGTATAAATATACATATTGAGGCATACAGTATATATGTGAGTATATGCTTATTTAATCATCTCTCTCTCTCTTTTTTTTTTTTTTTTTGCAGAGATGCTTCGCTTGTGGTTACTACTTCTGGTGATCACCAGGCCAAGGTGTTTTGTGTGCAGCAACCTGACCGCTAGCATTTAGGTGACGAGGCACTACAAGGGGAGCATGCCATGTGACTGACGGCAGACATACCCATGGGACTCTGGCAGGGTGGATGGGGTTAGCCTAATAACATCCTGCAGGGAAACAACTAAACATTTCAGAATCACCCTTATTTTGAAAAGAAAGCTTTGCTCCCCTATCCCCAACTGATTGCTGGGGTTTTCTACAAGAAGCTTTTAAGTATTTAAATCCCTGGTGCTTCACACGCAAAGCTATGAGAAAACACAAGTGGGTGGGGCTTGGATCAGGATCTGGGCAGTGGGAGGCACTGAAGTGATGTATCTCAGAGGAACCTCCGTACTTCTCCCAGTTTCAAGGAGATCTCCTCTCACATAATTTTTGAAGATACATACATGGAGATCAGAGGTATCACCTTCTATGTTCTTCCCCTTAAGATGGGGCAAATGGACTGTTACGCAGCCTCTGATATGACAGTAAGGCTCATCCTTCCCTTTTCACTTTGAGCTTGTGCTTCCCCTTCCAGTGAATCGTGTGGATTTGTTCAAAGCCAATCAAATGATGTTCCTGAGATGATGCACAGGCTTTGGAACTCTAGTGGAAACTGAGCAGGTCATCCTGGACTTGAATACATGGACCTCTCAGTGACAATAACAAGACAGCTTGTTGTTACATCTCTAGATGTTAGGACAAAATAAAAAGGAAGATTGTCATCTTGAAGGGCTTGTTTGAATTTGTGGCTTGCTAGACCATGGTTGCATGGACTAGATAGCTAGTTTGTGTGGTAGCCAAAGACTAGCCTATTGTCCTGAAATGGGCAAGAGGGAAAAATATACAGATGTTGCATTGTCTCATACCAGAAATATAACAGTGAGGAGTGCATCAAGTGGAACCATGCAGTCATTCATTTTGCCTGAAAATCTCTTAGGATAGTTGGGTAAAGATACCTGAACAATGGGGTGGGAAGTACTGTGTTTTCCTTGATGTTCAGAAAAATTTAATTCAAGACCGAAAGAGAAGCTAAAAAGGCTAACAATATAAAAGCAGTTCTACAATGTGCTTCGGGTGGTGGGGATGGTAAGGAACTATTACAATATGCAAGGTTGATATTTAAGAGCCTACTCAGCTAGAAAAGTGGAAGCTAGAATGAAACATCTTAGCTGTGGGTGATCAGGGTTTGCTACCAAACAAGTTAGTTAGATGTAGTCTGGAAAGTAGTGCCGTTGTCCAATGCCTTCCATTTTCTCAATGACTTTTTTCTAGGCAACTCCAACTATGCTGCCTGTTGGGTTTGCAGGAGTGGTCCAGTACAGCTCATTGCCCAAATTACTTTTACTCCAGTCTCACCAGGGAGCCCTTGCAGCATCAGACTTTTGGCTGGTAGGGCTTAGAAGGTAGTTTATTTATAAAAGCGTCCTTGATGCTGCCTGGATGTCTTGTTTTCCGTCAGGTGGAGCCCAATATTTCCAATTCTGGCTTGCCTTGCAATCTAGTGGGTTGTGCTTAAGAGGATTTTTGATCTCATCTGATATAATCATCCTTTGGATTCTGTTTTCAGACTTCACCTACTGTTTTCAAATGTTATCGTTGACTGGAAAACAGAAATATGTATATCCCCCAAACAGTGTACACATTAATATCACAATGTGTTGAGTTAACCAGAATTTCTCAGTAGAGACTATCCTTGAAATACTTATCCTTTCTAAGCTGTTGTGAAACCAACAAAAGTCAGTTTCCCCAACATTGATCATTGGATTGATTACTGTTTTTTTTTTACATAATCTGACCATATAAAGCCCTTAATGAAACTGTCCTATGAGATTTTCTGATCTTTTGACATTCTTTGCATTGAATAAGATTCAGTTCATAGTATGAAGAAATCAACAGGTTCAATATTCTTAATTTTCTGCTGGTTAATGACTGCAATAAAATTATTTGAATTTGAATATTCTTAACTATAATAAATATCATTGTTCCATGTATGCTTTGCATCATCAGATCTATGGTAAAGGGTTAAAAAAAATGAGAAACATTTAGTTTTTATTATATGTGATTGGAGGCCCAGCAGCCAGGCCTGAGTTTGCTAACCCCAAACTGCTCTATGCAAGGATGAAGGAAATAGGAAATTGGCTTGATGTTTTCTAACTAAAGATGGAAAGTGGGAATTCCTAATCTAAAAGATCGCAGGATAAGAGGTAGTAATCGCTCCCAATCTTGCTTTAAAAGGGAATTAGACCAATTAAGGTCATGAGAACTAGATTACCTCTTTAATGAAGACATTATGTCTCTTAGTCATAGGTATTAATAAGCATAAATGGCAACCCAGTATACTTCTGACCTTCTTACAAGCATCTGCTTCTTCTCAGAAAAAGATAAATGGAGTTTAAATGAACCCGCAGGCTAAAAAACAGCCCAAGCTCAACTTAATGAAATTTGTCACCAAGTCATCAATCTTTAATTATTTCTTGCCTCTATTGGCAGCCTTTATCATCATGGTTCACACCAAGCACAGCTATAATCACCCTTGTTTCTTAGGAACTTAACCCCCCTCCCCCCATTTAGTAGTTAGCAGAAGCTTCATTGACTTAAGACAGCTTTAAAAAGTTCTTTTATTGAAAACGACATCTAAGGAGCCCAGCATACAGTATTAGCTTTAAGGTATAAATTCTTAGCCTTTTTATCTTAGTATTTTCAGTCAGTGAACATTTGTCCATTCCATTCCCAGCCTTGAGTTGGGAGTTTCCTGCTCAGGGTTGGTTCAAGAGTTCTGATTCGGTGAAGCAACACTAGTGCCTTCCTCACCTGTTTCAGCCCTTAAAAGTCTCCAGCATCAACTATAGACATAAACAATTCAATCTCTACTACAGTGGCTGCCATGCATTGTTGATGATCTTGAGAACACCAAGAAAATGGAGGTGTGCTTCAATGTAGTTTGCCTCATCTGTAAAAATAAGACTAATTGGGCCCTGCCTATCTCACGGGGTTGTGAGAGATAGCCAAATCAAGATTAATGGGAAGTGGAAGATTTATTTATGTACTTTGCATGCCTTCATAGTGAATGAATCTAAATCTTTTCAACAAAGATCTTAACATTGTACAGATCTGATTTTAGAATGCGATCAATGTTTGGCTTTGGTTTAGTCTGCTTGTGCAAGCTGATCCCATTTTGACATATTTATATAAAGAACCTATGATTCAACCCAGCTACTGGATTTACAAATATCTAAATGACTTCTCAATATCCTTCAACTGCACTGCAAGGAATTTAAGGAACAAGGATTGTAGCTAAGGTTGCTGAAATTCAGTTGTTATCGTCTATTCTGAGATTCTTACAGTGGAGAACAAGGGACTTCCTTCCATGGAAGAAGAAAGGGGGGTGGTTAATGTGAGCAGCAGGTCTAAAAGGCAGCGATTCAGGAGGAGGGGATTTCAATAGAGCTGTGTGGGAGAATCTATTCACAACTGTGTTCATTGATTTTCAACTTTTCCATTTTTTGATAGCAAATCAAAGGAAGAGAAAAAGAAATGTCCTTTCTCTTTCTTCATCCATTTTATGAATTTTTGAATGGCATGCGTATTAGATCCCCAACAAACAGCAGAATTCTGAACTGGGTTGTGGGGAACCACAATTGGAAGCAAACATTCCAATTTCATTCCAAGCTGAAGGGAGAAAATTGAAGTATTTGTGCTGCTGAATGGGTAGATGAGGGATTTGATGACTTCCCACTGGAAAGTATCAGACTGGATTTGTCGGAGGTTCAGTGTTATTGCCACGGGGCTGATTATTTTGTTTTTGTTTGCACCCCTGTCTTCGGCAGCAGGCTCTATAGGCTTTCATGGCCATGTCACTCCAAAATTCGGTGTATTGACGATTGCTAAGACTGAGAATGATGGGTACTACAGCAGCACTGGCAGTGCCTATGCAGATAACAATAGGAAGGGTGTTGTTACCCTTTATTTCTAAATGCAACGAGATATTCAAACAAACAATATATGGCACCCAGCACACCAGAAAGATGAGAGATACACTGGCAATACTCTTTGCATGCCTCAGTTCCAGTTGTTGCTCCAAATCTGACGGGGTCTGACTTTGATTCACTGAATTAAGCAGTTTTTTAATGTTTTTAAGCTGCTTTCGGGCTATGCAGAGCAGTTGGATACCCATTACAGCTATTGCAAAGATGATTGGGATGATGAACACATAGGTTTCCACATAGAGGTAAGGCCAGGATAAGATTTGTTCAGCAGAGCAAGAAGTCTCATTGGAGTTCCATTGGTACCAAGCCAATGGCATGGAGGCAAAACTCAAGGGAGACACCCATGCTAAGCATATGTAAAGACCAGCCCAACGATAAACCCAGGACTGGTGGTAGTGCAATGGATAACTGATGCATGTATATTTAGCATAGTGCATCACCAGCAGATTGGCTAAAAAAGAGAGGAAAAGGAAATTGGGCATAGCATAACATGCAAAACACCAATGGGAGCTCACATCATTCTCAAATGACATTTTGGAGATTTGGGGAAGGGCTCCCCCAGCCAAGAGATCAGCAATGAGCAGACTCAGGAAGAACCAGTTGATGGTACCATGGAGCTTGCGATTGAAGAGGATCCCAAGTATAATGAAAACATTGGCTAGAATGATGAAAGCTGATAGGGACTGGGAGAATAAGGATATAAGATGTTTCATCTGAGCATCTAATCAAGAATCCACAATCTTCTGGGCTTCTGAAATCACTTCCTCAAGGAAATAAGAAAATAGTCTAAATAAATAAAACCAGGAGATATACTGCTTAGTATTTAGCTTTCTTTTTAAAATAATGACTAGCTATAGAAAAAAATTCAGTTATGTTGCATTTCTTAGTATATTACACAGTGATATACATTCTATAAAAATAAAATAGGCTGCTCTCAATACTGCGACTATCCTAATTACTAATTAGTGCAAAACTTCTATGACTTTAAATAAACCGTGTAAAAGAAATCTTACAAAAACTACTGCATAAATGTTAAGGGTATGATTAACCACAACAGAGAAGTAAATAATTGCAACTCCACATTTCAGAAATTTAAAATGCAGTCCTACACAAAAATAAACCCACTAATATATTGTCAATCACACATATCTAGAGTAATTACTGCTAGAGAAATTTTGTAACAGATGTTCCAAATGTGATTTTTTTAAAAAAAACGATGGATTTGGAAACAGTCAATTGTTCTATATTTTTCTCAACTAAGAAAAGCAGAATGTAATTTGGAGATAATGATTTAAAAATATTTTTTTTGTGAAAGTGCAAAAGCAATCTGGTGACAAGAACACTTCTCTCGTATCTGACAAATTGCCATTTGGTTTTTATTTTTCTAGATGCTTTTCACTATAAACTGAACAGTGATACGTTGTGAAACAAAGCCTAGTCTCAAGTTATAAATGCTTTAGGAAACCACTCAGGTTCTGCACATGTTCTTTTAGAAATTAAAAAACGGGCCATCAACCTCTTCATCCATTTCTGGTAAATGGATGGTCTGGTGTCTCTCCCCACCCCATTACTTCCATGGTAACCACTGTGACATATTTGGAATTTCAAATGTACCTCCTGTCCAATTCTCGGTTTTACACAGTTAAAGGAATTATTTTTAACACTGAAGAAAAGTATGATGTTAACTTAAAATTTCTAGTTTGATTCTATATGGCCTTGAAATCTAAATGGAACAACTTTTATCTGCAAGATGCTTTTGTGGTTAAGGAAATGAGTAAGATAAAAAAAAATATCTCCCTTTGCTCTTCCTGTGAACTCCACCGTTTCTTAAATCTTCTTTCCCACACCCAAACAGCTTGCTGAACCTTTAAACTGTTATTCTTTGTATTAGGAGATAGATGTGCATCTTGCTAAGGGTCAAAGGCCCCACATGATCTTTTGGAATGTGATGTCATCACACCACCACAAGAAAAGTGCAGCCAATGCAAGAACAAACTAGTGAGCAGTATGTAGATCTTTTTTGCTCACATTTTTTAATATCATCCCACGTGCTTTGTTGCATAAATAGCCCTTTCCCACTAATTTTTGAAAACAGAAAGCTTAATTTTAACTTACTTGGAAATCACTACAAGCGGCTGCTCTATCTATAGCACAAATTTTTCCCTGAGAGCCATCTACTTAGAGAATGCTCTTGAACGTAGCCATGTACTGTAGGAGACCAAGTAAGGGCAGAGTGGAGGACAGACACAGTGCACTTCGTATCTGGGGTAGTAAAACCTTCCCTCTTCTGAACAGTGCAGGAACAGGTCAGTTACTAGGAAAGGAGTCAGGAAACTGGGGTGGGGAGGAGACTTCCATGGCATCACCTGTGGTTGCAGTCACTCTACAAGCAAAATCCACAAACATCAGGAATGTTATTTTAACAAGCTCATAAAGAAGCAGCAAAAGGCACTTAGAAAGAAACTCTTACCATCTGGCTAGATATAATAGGAGTCAATTAAGCTATTACAGTGACAGAATGGCTAGCAGGAGAAACTATCCTTGGTGTGACACCCTCTAGTCTTTCTCAAGAGGGAGAAAACAAATTGGGACCTTCTTGATGGAAAGGCTCTGAACACCGGGAAAGAGAGAAATGTGGAAAAATCCCACTTGTCCTTTGAGAGGCCAGGTAAACAATTTGTTAAATCATCTACACTGTTGAAACTGCTTTCCCAGTTTCTATGTTTCATTTTTTTCCCTGATCGGAAATGGGGAGCCCAATTCACATCTACATCACTAAAATATTAATTTTTATAAGCTGCTGGTAGCTAAACTCTGAAGCAAAAGTTGCTTCTTGGGCAGAGGTTATGATCTCACAGGTTTAAAAGTAATAATGGAATATTGCACTTGGAAGTTCTCATTGCTCATTATTTTCTTTATTTTCAAATGAAAATCCTATTGATCAGTAGCATATTCAAATAACTATAGCTTAGGATATATTGTGGTAAAAGTACTTGTAGAATAAATTAGGTTGTTTTTTTACTTTGCAGTAAACTATATTGTAGTGTACTCAGTAGGGCTTACTTCTGACAATTATGCCTAGAATTGCATGAAAAATCCAATACTGAGGCAGGTGAATTTATTTGAGAAATATCCTTTTTCCCTGCATATAAACAGTATTATTATTCCTTGGAAGAAGTCCAGCTCAACTCCCCTCCCCTGTATTAACCATAAAATTAACTCTGTTTTAGAAGTATTTTCCTAAGTGCTCTTTTTTCAGTTATATTATCCCAAGGCAGCATGTACGATGGGATAATATGATTCACACATGACAGGAACTGTCTTCTGACAATGTTCAAAAAGGCCTGTGTGTGTGCTTAATCCCAATCAAAATTAAGGACCCAATACTGTATTCACAAATGGCTAAATTAACTAACCTTTTGCAAATCTCGACTAGACACAACAGGAATCCTGTGGACGTCACCACTCATCGCATCCAAAATGTAAGGAGAAGGAGTCGGCACATTCTGCTTGGGAAGACTTTCTCCACTGCCAAGAGCTGGTCTTCCTTCAGCTTTAAAACAGTAACATCACCTCTTTATCCAACCCAGAAAGCAGGCAGTCAAAAAAAAGTCCCTTCTGAGGAACAGGAAGAGTTCAGATTGCTATCAAAGAACAAGGCGTCTGTTTCTTGTTCTGGCCAGTCACTTCCCCTATTATCTGTCAAACCCAGGCTTGAACATTGCTTCCTTCAGATGCTCAGCTGCCTCCTGGTGGCTCTCTGTTATGGCAAAAAGTGCATTATTGCCAGCTAAGAGATGGAAGAACCTGCTTTTTAGCGTGGGATGCCATCAGCACTTGCCCACTGAATAGCAGACTGGTAATGTTAGACTATTTGCTTAGTCATCATTTTAATCTAATGAACCAGTTAAAATCGATCTCTAGCTTTGCGCAGATAAAGACTGGGATGTCTCTTTCCTTGTCCTCTCTGCCACACTGAGACTTTGGGTACTTTGCCCTTGACAAAAGACCAACTAAGAAAGAATAATCTTTGGGTTTTCAGTCGGAAAGATGGAAGAGAAGTAGCCATTGATTTTGTTCTGAAAAGTAATTAATGTACAAACAGAATATATAGTAGACAACACTACCAATGTATTACAGCCTCCGTGTCAAAAATTCGTTTTGGACTGCAGATGTTTGAAATAGCTGCCTAATTTTTGGATTTTTCTCTTCCCCCTCCCTTTTTAAAAAAATCTAATTTGCCTCATAAAAGTTTCTGGAGAAACTCAAAAGTTTAGCATCTGAATTTTAAAATAGATACTATTTTGTAAAAGATTCCTCTAGAGTGCTTTTGTTTTCATAAAGGAAAACAGTTAAGAGGAACCCAAACTGAGTTTAGCGGTCAGCTCAGAAATCCATATCAGTTCTTTCTTCCTCGTCTGCTTTTATTGAGATTTTGGGTTTGTTGATAGGCTTTTAAAAATGATTTTATTGTGCTGTTTATCTATGTGCTTAGTTTACAAATAGGTTGTTATTTCATTGTCAAATATGGGTTCATCCAAAGCAGTCCTGCCTCTCTCTCTTTGCAGTTTCTACCCCCCCCTTCCTGCTGAGAGAGTGGGGGGGGCATGGTGATCTAGCTGATCTGTGCCTCCCCTTCTCATGGTTTCTAGTCAGATACCTAAATCATTATAACCAAATTGGCTCCACATCTGGAATACCATAAATGCCATCCACACACCATAAGGGTAGATAAATATTGTGGTTATTCCAGAGTTGAAGGTTCTAGGATATAAACAACCTACCTCATTTAGGTAGAGTTTTTGAGGAGTTTGTTGTTCAGAAAGAGATCATTTCATATTTGCAATATGCTTGGGGCTTCTGTTTCTTTTATATCTGTGTGTGTGTTCATTCTTTCTATAAACATGAATATTCCTCCTTAACTGAAGGAGAAAAAAATGGAATCCAGTATCCATGTGATGATCTGGTTCCATCAGGACTATGAAAATGCATGTCTTCCCACAATATATTGAGCTGCAAGCTCCCGACTCCATTTTAGCCTGGTCTGCAAGTTGTATGAAGCAGGCAGTATCTTTTAATTGGTAATCCACCTAGATGCACTCAAGGTTTTTTTTAATCCACCACCGGTTGAATTCAATGGGGGAGGGAAATAAATGTAACAGGATATTGCTACACAACTAAAACGAGTGATTCCCACATGGTTTAAACAGCAGTGCTTCCATTTATAGAAATACATCACATCTAGTTTACAAATTCTGCAGATAACGTAGGCTCTAATTCCCATAATGTCTTAGCCTGCGTGGCTGACCCTTAACGGGAATTGATTAGAGAGGATGTCCAGTGATTGCCAAATGCTTTTTAAAGCCTTGTATCTGCCTCCTGTATTCTCAGTTATGTTCTCAGCTCTCAGTTGCTCAAGAAATTGGTTATACATATAAAAAATCATAATGTTAAGTGTGTCATTACTCTTACATACATGATTCTTTTGAAACCTTCCTAAATATTAAGATCTACTTTTATCCACAACTTGAAAATTAAACCATCTCTTCCAATGTTATTGTTAAATTTCCTATGAACTCAAAATTATGTAGGTTAAAATAACCTTATTATTCCTACAATGATTCTGTTTCCTCTATCTCTTGGGAATTTCAGAATTTCAGAAAAACTCTTGAAAGACACCCAAAAAACTTTAGAGTCAGATTGTTATTTGTTGGTCAAAGTTTGATAATTTCCGGTCAAGGTTTTTAAGGAAAGGGGCATTGTTTCCATTTTATCTTTATAGTATGACCATATGCCCTATTCTTGGGTGGCGGGAGGGGGGGGAGAGACAGTCATGTGACATTTTAGTCCTGCCTCTTCTTCTTTTCCCAAATGATATAATAGAGATCTGCTTTGCCCTCACCTGCCATAGCTAGAAGCCTTCAGAGAAATTGGTGTCAAAAACATGATTAGGGAAATGATAGATGTGTTGTGGTTCCGGCTAATGAAACATTCCAAAGAACTTCCAGGCATTGATTTTCCTAGAAGTCTTTTATTGTTACAAAATGTGGGCACAGGCACAACGGAGGGATGCTAGGATCTAAGTTCTCTTCCTCTGAGCAATTAAATTATCAGCATGTTCCCTCCCTAACTTAGCTGTCATATCTCACATTATCCAATTAGTATGAAGGTCAAATGTTTTCTTCCTCTTTCTTTCCCGGGCTTTACCCCCAACCCCCCCCCTTCTGCTCTGTATTAACCCCATAACTACCAGACAATTCTACATATTGTCAAAAGCAAGAATATACAATATTTGCAGCGTTGACAAGATGTAAAAAGAGCTTGGGAAAACAAAGCTAATGGAGACAGCAAAGTCTTGGGAAGAAATGGCAAAAGTAGAGGATGATCTCCTGACCCCTTTCTGGTCACCTCCACTATTAGTTATTTGAGTTCCTATGACAATCCAAATTCCAAGAAGTTCCAAGAAGTTCCAAGAAGCATGGTCCAGTAGTTAAAGCACTAAGCTAGAATGGAGGCCATGAGGTCAAATCCTGGTCTTAACCATGAAAGCCAGCTGGATGACTTTGGGCCAGTCATTCTCTCTCAATCCACATCATAAAGTTGTTGTTGTGGGGAAATAGGAGGAGGAAGGTGTGCTGAATATGTTTGCCATCTTGAGTTATTTGTAAAAATAATAAAGGTACAAATAAATGATTTACATTTAAATTTAATTTAATTTGAGTTCACCTCCAAGAGAATGGATAACGAAGAATAATAGATTTTACACATCTTGAGATTATCCTTGGTAAATGATTCTTCTAAATCAGACATGTCAAACACAAGGCCCGCGACGTGGTTTCATGTGGCCCTCACAGCCATCCTGGAAACATTGAGGGAATGGCCCCTGCTGCCTTGGCCCCCGGCCCTGGCCACCCAGGAGCCAATGTACAATTTTGTGCTGGCCATCTATGCTGAAACGCAGTCTTAGCTCTACAAGGCTGTCTGGAAACAGCGAGGGACCGGCCCCTGCTGTGTTGGCCCCACCCCCTGGGTGCACACTGGAGAGGTGTCACCCTTTGTGAGGAATGAAGAAATGCACCATTGCCTGGAAGTGGCCAGCAAATGGCCCTCGGCTACTTCACATATCCGGCTTGATGGGCTCTGGGGGAGGGGTTTCAGCAGGTTCTTCCAGTGGACCATGCCTTGGTGCTTGTCCTGGTCCCACCCCCTTCTGCCAGAGACCCTCAGATCTGTCCCACTCCTGCCCAGGCCCCCACAGGCACCCTTGATGCGATGTAGAGCTGGCCATACCCACCCAGTAGGCCACACCCACTCCAGCCACACCTACCCAGTAGGCCATGCCCACCCTGGCCACACCTACCTGTCCCCCCGAGGACAACCACAATGCTGATGCGGCCCTCAATGAAATTGAGTTTGACACCCCTGTTCTAAACCAATACAGCTAATGATAATAGAAGGCAGTCTCACCCAGGAAATATGGCAATATCACTGAGACAAAGAAGGAAAACACTGTTATCTGAGCTTCACTGTGTTATAGTTAAATACAATTGGAGACCAGGATTCAGTCATTCCTCTCTTCCTCAGATCCTTCACAAGCAGAGAACTGCCAATTTTCTCTAAAGTTTCAAGGAGACAATTCATCCTATGTATACCCTGGAAGCCAAGTCTGTTTTACAGACTCTAGTCTAGTTGAGGAGGAAAAGAATCCAGTTTTCGAAAGCATGAAAGATCTAATTGATGAATATAAAAGCACCAAATTTAGAGCTCCTGAGACATTTATTACTGCTTTGGGAAGGGAATGGTGTCTTAAGAGAGTTAAGGTTGAAGGGCCTGTGGTCAAGATATCTGGCTTCTATTAGAGCAGGGATATCAAACTGCCGGCCCATGGACCGGTTGCACCATGCAGAGGCCACACCCACTGCAGTTCCAGCAATATGAAAACAGTCACAATACACCGCAACACATCATGTGACGCAGTAAGTTTGACACCCATGTATTAGAGGGAGAAAGTCAGGCAAGGAAGCCTGGACTTTTAAATTCAAATCCTCTTCAGTAAGATCAAATGAATTGATTGAAAAGCATGAAAACTCCTCTCCGCCCTACCTCAAGTGTGTTTGCTCCATTTGCAAAATATGCAAGAGTCCCATTAAAGACAAGTGTGTTATTTAAATTAGATTGCTTCCACCATCTATCTATAGCTGGGTTCTTATAATAAGCTAGTCCAGACTAAAATGGAGTTAGGTGTTTGGTGTTTCATCATACTGTGGAAATTCAGCCATTGCTTTAGCATGTTGTGTGAATTATTAAACCACAGTACAGTTTGTTTGGGCATACTGTAATATGACAACATCAAAAAAGCATTTTCTTAATCCAGGTATAGGATTAAACATGAGGCCATCCTGTGCAGACTTTCAGCTCTGCCTGAATGCTATTTATGCTGCATTACTTCCTGAAAATTGTTTTCTACTCTCTGTGTCACTGAACTGTGCTTTTGGTTTGCCACTGTAACTTTTTCACATATTTCCACAAATATCAATCTCTACTTCTGAAAAGGAAAAAATTAATTTCCAAGGTTGCTTCTCTTGTGTCTTTTGCCATAATAATTTCTTTAGGCAATTTCAGTCTGATAATT